TTTTTTTTTTTTTAGCTGAGGTTCTTTTAATTGAAAAACACACACAGGGCTTATCGCTTGAGAAAGAATAGTCTAGAAGTCTGGCTCTACCTTTGTTTTTTGTTTTGGGGTTGCTGGATGGCATCCCTTCCTTTGTCTTAGCCTGTTGCCCATCTGCAAAATGGGTATCCTCTCTCTGGGGCTTTAGGAGAGTAAAGTGAGGGTGGGTGTGGTTCGACTGTCCTCCCAGTGATGCATGAATTTTATGTGTTTACTACAGAAAACGTAGTCCAGGTACCAGCAGCGTCAGCATGACAGGAGAGCTTGTTAAATGCAGACCTCAAGCTCCCACCCAAACCTCCTGAATGGGGGAGACCTAATCAGCATATTAAAGTCCCAGACGGGGAGCCTGGCTAGTGCAGTCCATACAGCATGCAACTCTCTCCTGGTCGTCAGTTCAAGTCCCGTGTTGGGCATAGAGATTATTTTAAAAAATTAAAACAAATGTTTAAAAGGAGGGTCCCAGATGATCAAACATTAAAATTTAAGAAGCACTTTTAGATCAAAGGCAACTGAAATGAGAGTAAGCTAGGATGATGTAAGAATCGAAAGTGGACACGTGGCATCCCCTAGTCACTGCCCTCACTGGTACCTAGAAGACCCAAATTGGCAAAGGTGATGTTCAAATTAAGCACTATCTGGACGGGGCGGCGGGGGTGGGGGGGGAGTTAGGCTTTTTCTTGTCAAGAGGATTAAGTACATAGCTTTACCGTTTATAATAGAAATAAATGAAAGCTGGGATGCCTAGATTGCTCAGTGGTTAAGCCTCCGACTTCAGCTCAGGTCATGATCTTATGGTTCCTGAGTTTAAGCCCTGCGTCGGGCTCTGTGCTGACAGCTCAGAGCCTGGAGCCTGCTTCCGGTTCTGTGTCTCCCTCTCTCTCTGCCCCTCCACTGCGTGAGCTCTCGCTCTGTCTCAAAAATACACATTTTTTGGCACAAAAACAGACACTCAGATCAATGGAACAGAATAGAGAACCTAGAAATGGACCCACAAACATACGGCCAAATAATCTTTGACAAAGCAGGAAAGAATATCCAATGGAATAAAGACAGTCTCTTCAGCAAGTCGTACTGGGAAAACTGGACAGCAACATGCAGAAGAATGAACCCAGACCACTTTCTTACACCAGACACAAAAACAAACTGAAAATGAATGAAAGACCTCAATGTAAAACAGGAAGCCATCAAAAGCCTCAAGGAGAAAGCAGGCAAAAACCTCTTTGATCTTGGCCATCGCAACTTCTTACTCAAGGGTCTCCAGAGGCAAGGGAAACAAAAGCAAACATGAACTATCGGGACCTCATCAAAGTAAAAAGCTTCTGCACGGTGAAGGAAACAATCAGCAAAACTAAAAGGCAACCGACAGAAGGGGAGAAGATATCTGCAAACGACATATCAGATAAAGGGTTAGTATCCAAAATCTAGAAAGAACTTGTCAAACTCAACACCCAAACAATAAATAATCCAGTGAAGAAATGCGCAAAAGATATGAATAGATACTTTTCCAAAGAAGACATCCAGACGGCCAACCGACACATGAAAAAATGCTCAACATCACTCATCATCAGGGAAACACAAATCAAAACCACAATGAGATACCACCTTACACCTGTCAGAATGGCTAACATTAACAACTCGGGCAACAACAGACGTTGGTGAGGATGCGGACTGCTGGTGGGAATGCAAACTGGTGCAGCCGTTCTGGAAAACAGTGTGGAGGTTCCTGAAAAAATTAAAAGTAGAACTACCCTACCACCCAGCAATTGCACTACCAGGTATTTCTCCAAGGGATACAGGTGGGCTGTTTCGAAGGGACACATGCACCCCCACGTTTACGGCAGCGCTATTGACAACAGCCAAAGGACAGAAGGAGCCCAAATGTCCATCGATGGATGAATGGATAAAGAAGA